CCTCTAAGGAAACGCTCAAGTCACATCTCTTCTCTATAGTCTTTTCAGATCAACCCTGGCCTCCAGCTTGCCCTTCCATCCATGATCTCTCTCCATCTTACTGTCAGCAGCAATAAACGAATAATCACTTAGTGGCACACCATCTGGTTCTCTTTCTCTCTTTTTTAATGAGAAAGGGTCTTGCTATGTTGGCCTCAAACATAAGATCTTTCTGCCCCAGCCTCCCAAGTAGCAGGGTATCCCGCTGCACCCAGCGCCTCATTTGGTTCTTAAACACAGTCCCCTCCTCAATCCCTATGTAGGAGAGCCTACCCCATGCTGTGCCTAAGGATGCTCGGTGCATTTACAGATGATTGGCATATATGACACTGCATTCCTCTGCCTTTTCCATCTCCCAATGTTAATAGGGCGAGTGAATGGACCCACAAAATGAGACTGAAAGGACAGAATCCCTTCGCTTTCATTTCCATCAAACAGATTTTGGAATACACCAAGGCCTTATTATTTACTATGGATGTGTTTCTCAAGGTCAAGAGGAATAAGAGGCTAACAGCTAGGCAGGACAGTGAGTTAACAAAACAAAAGAAAGGGGTGATAAATAACAACAATCTGCTCAAGTTGCGTTCTGCTTTCTGAGACTTATGGAGTGTTTGGGGAAAAACACTGCAGGAGGTGAAGGAGGTGTAAAGAAGAATACAGTGTCCGTCAGCTGGACTCCTTGGCTTTCTCTCCACAACGCTTGCAGAATCCATCTGCTTCTCGCCACACGGGCCCACTGCCGTGCCAAGGATGGTGCACCAACCTCCCCACGGATGCCCCAGCTTCTACTCTGGCCCCCCTACAAAATTCCTCCCACTGCCTCAGTGTCAAGGGCAGTCTTTGTAGAATGTGAATTTGATCATGTCTCTCCTCTGCTGGCCCCTCCATTCTAGAAGCTTCCATTTACACCCAGAGTACAAGCTGAATGCCTTTCCCCAGTTTAAAGCCCTGCTGCCGTTACCCCTGCCCTCCTCTCTGTGCCCACTGCCCACCCGTGTCCATTACCCTGGCCTGTGCTGGCCTCTGCACCTCCAGCATACCAAGCTCTTTCCAGCCTTTTGACCTTTCCCTCACTGTCCCTTGATCTTAACATGGCCAGCTTCCTCTTGTCATCAGATTTCATGTTCAAAGTCACCTCTTTAGAGACCACTTTTCCAATCACCTAGGCTAGACAGCCACCCCCTTTTCTATTCAACACCCTAATTTAACTCTTAGTGTAGCACTTAACTCTTGGTTGCTGTGGACCCTACGGTGCAAACTCCATGAAAAGACATATCCCCCTTGTTCATCAGTGCTGAGCACAGCAAATAAGAGTGTAAGGAATGAATAGATGCAAGTTTCTCCACTGAGACCCGAGCCCTGGAGTTCTCTGTAAAGAATCCCCTCGTGTGTAAAATGGGAACAAGAACAGAATTACCAAAGAAATGCATTAGAAAATAACTCCAGTAGCTGGGCGTGGTGGTGCATGCCTGTATTCCCAGCTTGGGAGGGTAAAGCTCGAGGATCACAAGTTCAAAGCCAGCCTCAGCAACTTAGCAAGGCCCTAGGTAATTTGGTGAAACTCTGCTCAAATTAAAAAATAAAAAGAGCTGGGGATGTGGCTCAGTGGGTAAATGCCTCTGGGTTCAATCCTTGGTACTAGAAAAAAAAATGAAAAATAAATGCAAATCATGTGGCTCTTGGCAAACACTAGCTATCATTAGTGCTCAAGTCATTTTCCTTTTTGGTGAAATGGAGATAATCACATATTTTGTCACTGCCATTGATTAATAACTTTGACTTTTGAAAAAGTTGTTTGAAAATAAAAAGGTTAAAAAAATAACTCTCTGGAGCCTTACTAGTCTCATGTTAAGCAAATACCCTAAGAATAAATTTATAATTAGTGTTTTTTTTCCATTTTTTTCTTTTTGAGGGGAAAATTATGTTCAGAACCCACAGCTGCTCATAACATTTGCTTGCTTTCCAGGAATTTTTCAAAGATAAAGTAGAGCACATAATCCAATAAATATACAAATATTTAGAACAAAGATTTAAATGCTATAAGCCCTATTTTCCTCCATAGTGGTGTAGGAAAGAAGCAATAGAAAGACTTTGTTAAGTATTGTTTGTTCATAACAAACCCTACCATGCTATTTTGGAGCATGTAAGACTTCTGGCTCACAAGAGAAGTTTGGGGTGGGAATAGCCCAGAAAGATAAAGTCACAGAAATCTAGGAAGGGCAGTGATCATAAGTTCTGAAATTCTTATTGCATCCACAAATGCAATAAGGATCCAGAATCCTGTCATCCTCCTCTCGAAGTCGAAGTGTCTTCCAGGCAAGTCCTCTGGACCTCATGGTCCAACAGAAACAATGCGAGCCACATGGGTGGCTTTAAGTTTCCTGGTGGTCATATTTGCAAATGTGAAGAGAAACAGGTGAAATTCATTGTAATAAGAGATGATGTTTAACTTAATATATGCGCCCAGTGTGTCTATCTTGGAAAATCCAGAGTGTATTCCGCATTTATAGCACGTCCTTCCTGACTTGCCACATTCAAGGGCCCAATAGCCACATGGGGCTAGTGGCTCTCTCCTTGGACTGTCTGTTCTAGATTTTACTTTCGAGGTGTTCTGGGTCTAAAAATCTCTTTTGCTACTTGTGGGAGAGAAAAGGGAGATCACAAATAATTTCTTAAAACATGAGTTCATTTGTAACTCCCTAAGGTTGCCTAGTGTTATACCCTATATAAAAGGACAAAGTCCTGGTAATGTTTTCATTGTCCAGTGGAGAGCTTAAAGGAAAGTTCTTTTTAAGACTTAAATTGCTATCATGGAAATACTTTTATCCTCTGGTTTCCACCGACTCATTAAGACGTGTCAAACTGTATTTGACGTTTCTATCTGTCTACCTCAATTCTTTTCATCTATCTTTCTATCCCTCTACATAACTTCTAGAAGTGGTAGTTAGGAAGATTGCTCATTTAAAATCAAGTCCTCTGATCCTAGTATTTCTGGGGAAGATTTATGAAAAGTTCTGTTTCTTTATAGAGGAGCAGTTTTGCCACAGTTTACAAAGCTAAAGAGTTTCAATAATGAAATTGTTGCCATTCAAACAAAATCAATTTGGAAATAGATTAGAACTAAACATGTTATCAATGGAATGGGGCTTGAGAATGCAAGAGAATTATCATGGAGTAAAGCTGTCCAAAAATTATGTGCTTTCCTTTAAATCATAAATCCATTATCAGCCTAGTCTTGGACTTTTTTTTTTTTGGATGCGAATTGGGTGAGTTTCATAAAGGACAGCCATCAAAGCCTGGCTGTGGATGATACTCTGAGGGTCAGCACATTCAATTCAGTTCTGGACTCTCCAGTTATCTGAGAGATAACTTGGTGAAACTGGAATTTTCACATTGGCAGGTTACCTCTTTTACAAGCCTCCATGTTGCTTATCAGTGTCCTGGTGTGGGACGTTGGCTGGATGCTAATTACCTGTAAGAGCCAGTTTTTTTTTTTCCCCCAGAGATTCTGTTTTGATCTAGTATCAAGCTCATTTGCAATTTCTGGGCTCCTCAACAGAGGATCCAGTGCAGAACAAGTAGGGTAGCTAGCTGATGGGGTGTAGTGGGGACCATGAACTATGGGGAGTTCTTGTGTGTTTTTCCTGGCTTATCTGGGGGGATGGTATGCTTACTGTATAGCATAGAAAGTAGTCCCCATTCTGCAGCTGTCTTGGCTATCTCTGGAGACAGCATGGCATCCCTCAGGCCAACGAACAAGATGAGGCACTGAGGCAATGACCTCATAGAGTCTGGTACACTTGCTATTACTCCCCACCCTCCTTTCTATTTCCCTCTACCACCATACCTAAGAACCCTAACCTGGTCATAGCTACTTCCCTTGCTAGAAAAAAAAAAGAAGGGAAACACTTTGTCTTGTGTAGCAATAGGGATGACTCCAGTGTGGACTTTCCATGGGGACCAATTTTATTAGTTATACCACAAAAAGGAATGGTTGTCTGTTCAATTTATGTTCAATTTTCCAGACTCTGACATTTAGAGTTTCCCTTTATAATTCACCTTGGGTCAGCAGGAGAGTCTATGGAAAAACTTATACAAGTTTTACTCCCATTTAAAGCTTGCCTTCAGGTTGAAGCTCAGAGTCCTCCAAAAAGGAGAGATGCCAGTCCAGTGATTGGTGTCAGCTGCTAGGGCCACGACATTCAGCGGGGCAACCCAATCCAGATGTGGAGTGAAACCCAGGAACAGACAGGGGTGCTGAAGCCTAGATGGATGGAATGAGCACCCCCAAGGCTAACTCCGTCATTACTGTGGACTCTGAAAATGACGTTGCTCTCAATGGTATATTAGCCAAAAAAGAAAAATGGAAAAACACTTAATATGACAAATTCATTCTTACAATATTTACTTGAGATGAGACCAGTAAAGTCTCAAAGGGTTGTTTTATCGATTAACGTTCTATTTTCAAACACGTTTTTAAAAAGTCCAAGTTATTAATAAATGGCAACGAGAAAAACTATGAATATCAATTGAAATGAAAGTTTCCTCTTCCCATAAGCTTCCATCAGCCCCATTTTACCTAGTGGTGCCTTTAGAAGACTTGGTGACCTTCTCTCTTTAGTAAAAGACAGAAGATTTACAATAGGCCCTTTTGCTCACTATTAAAACACAGTTGCCTGTGAAGGGATCGCTATCAAGGTTTACCAACTGCTTGACTTGGGGGATGCAGAAAAAGGCATAAAGGCCTCATCTCCCAAACAAAGAAAAAAGCTGAGCCTTGTTCTCAGTGTCATGAGGGAAAGGAAAAATCTATGAGCTACCTTTCCTTCAGTGTCGTCAGGGAGTGAAAAGTCAGTGTTGGCTAAAATTAATTTGTGACGCTAACCTTTGTGACTAACCTTTGTGACGCTAGCTATAAGCACAGGAGGAAGGAGGAGCCAGACATTGTGGGACTTCAGCTGAGTACTGAGGACCTGAAGGAGGTGATTAGACTAACAGAAAGGGCAAAGGCAGGAGTGGGGTGTGGCTGCTCTCACCCTCCTCTCTGGAGTGCTGGCCTATGTTTCCTCTCCGTTCTTCTCCCATTTGGATGCTCACACCTGCTTTCTTCTCCAGGAACTAATCCTTCAGGTATCAGCCAAATATTCTCTTTGGAAGTCTTCCCTGATCCCCTGGCCTGGGCTAAATCTCTTTGCTCTGTGTTCCCATAGAACCTCAAATCATATGGAATTATAATTTATATTTTAATTTTTGGGCCAACTGGGATTGAACACCATGCCTCACACATGCTAGGGAAATACCATCTAGGTACATGCCCAACCCTTTTTACTTTATCACCCAGGTTGGCCTCAAACATTGGATATGAAATTTAGTGATCTTTCCTGAATACTCTAACCTACACACCACAAGGCTTTGTTGCTCATGTCAAGTCCTGTCTGCCTAGCCTGGTGCCTGATGAAGAGGAATGAATGAATTCCTCTCCACTGAACCAATGAACATACTCTTATAGCATAGTGTGTGGATGGTTAAAGGGGAAATCGGGGAGAGGTGAAATCCAGGGAAAGAAAAAAGACCATTAGGTAATCGGGGATCACAACACAGTGTGCAGAAAAGCAGGCCAGTGGGGGAGGTCTTCAGCAGATGAGGCATGTTGGGCAGGGTATAAATATGGGAAGATGTTGGAAAATGGGAGAAGGGAGGAGGACAGAAAGGGAGGTGATTTAGGGCCAAGGATAGCTCTGCCTTCTCAAATTGGATTTGGTCCTCTCTTCTCAAAACATCAAATCCAAACTCAACTGTCCCTTCCTCTCCTGACCTTGGATGAGGATTCAACAAGAGATAGGCAGTGTAGGGTTGGTGGATTCTAATCTTGCTACTTTCATTACTACTCTCTGTGATCTTGAACAGTGCAGGAAACTTATCTAAACCTCATCTTTCTTATAAGCAAGGGAAGGATAAAGTAAAGTGTTGATGGAGAACAAATGAGATAATGTACCTAGGAGGGCTAGGGGATCTCCAGACCTTGATTTCCTCCCCACCTAAAACTAAGGGACTGGGATTATAAGAAATTGCCAGCCAGTCCATCCATGGGGCTGTGGGTCAGGTTGAAGTAAGGTGGTCACAGAACTGTCAAGAGAAGATGATACATGTGAAAGAACATAGCAGGATAGCTCTTTCCTATATGGCTAATTCTCCAAGTTTATCTCCTGGGTCAGGTGTTGATATCTATGATTCAATCCATCATTTTCAGGCTAGAACAGAACTTGCTGCTGGCCTTGGTTGTGACAATTCTCAATTGAGGTCTGTCACTGAGTTGCAGATTGTCCCTAGAGATGATTTTTTTCAATGCCATCAGCTGAAGGAAAAGGCCCACAGAGGCCAAGTAGCTAGACAATAAACATCATGTTTGGATAAAGTAGCATACTTCTTAAAATATTATGCACTTGGGTGAATTTTTGACCCTAGAGCCAAGCCCTACTTCCCTCAATCCTGATTCTGTTTGGAAGGAAAAAAAAATAAGAATTTGAAGAGGATACTTGATTACCCAGCTCTTTCTTGTTCAGACTCTAGCATTTACTTCTCCCCTGTTTGCTACTTGCAATTCGATACCAGGACTTGACCTTGCCTTGTTATAGCTGCTTGGGAGATGAGGCAAGTTGAAGTCAAAAGTCCTAAAAGAAGTTACAAGATGATGATGATGAGGAGGAGGAGAAGGAGAAGGAGGAGTATGTGTGAATGCATATGCTTGTAAAAAAAGGTAGTTTGATTATGGGCTCAGGAGAGAGGGAGAAAAACCGTGGGGAGGGAGACAGGCAGAAGAGAGAACATTCAACACCACCAATTATCGCACATTCAGATACACTTCCTAATTATGGAAGGAAATTGGGACAAGAAAAAAATAAAAAGCAAGATGTTGTATTTTTGCAGCATCAATTTTGGGCTTGGCTTCTCTGAAATAAGATAAAGTTTTCAGGTTTTGGGTATAGTTTGGTTCTGGCTGTGGACAGGGTGTTTTGAACTTGTTCTTTCCAAATCGAGGAAACTGTGCCAAGAATTCAAAGTACTCATCGTCCCCTTTCAATGAGACAGTGAAGGAAAGATTTCCAGGGGTGAGAACCAAATGAATACTACTGAGAATTCAAACATCCAGAGAAGGTGCTGTGCCAAAGTAAATCACACCCTCTAGGAATATTTCCTGTAATTTGCTTTTTTCTTTCCTTATTCTTAAATGACCCACTTCTTACAAAAGTTTATAAAAGGTCAAGAGTCAGTGGCCAGCAAACCAGACTTTCTCTCCAGATCTGTTGGGGCCTTACAGACTGGCGTTAGATACCGACAGAAATTATCAAGATCTCTGTTTATTCAAAGCCAATATAAACGCATTGTTATTTGTGCAAGAAAAACTTGACCTTAACATAACAATTTCAATTTGTAGATAACTTGATTTATTTTCATTATTGCTGATTTGGACATAAGAAAATAATTCTGGTGAAACATTTTTCCATGTGTTGAGATGTTTGTCATTAAGTCTCTGAGATCAATTGCCGTTTTCAGGAGGAAGGAAGGGAAGAAAATGAACTCTCATATCTATTTGAATGTCCTTTTTTTTTTCTTCTTTTTTTGGTACCAGGGATTGAACTCAGGGGGCACTTAACCACTGAGACACATCCCCAGCCCTATTTTGTATTTTATTTAGAGACAGGGTCTCACCAAGTTTCTTAGTGCCTTGCTTTTGCTGAGGCTGGCTTTGAACTCGTGATCCTCCTGCTTCAGCCTCCTAAGCTGCTGGGATTACAGGAGTGCACCACTGCACCCAGCTTAAATGTCCTTTTATTGAGTCCAGAAAAAAACATGTTTCCTTCACAAAGTGGAGACGTCTGCTTTGACAGGAGCAACAGGTTCCCAGGCATGGCTGTCCCCCGCCACCCCCCACCTCATTCTCCCTCCTCCTCAGGCACTCTGCTGTAGCTGCCCTGTTTCTTCAGCACAGAGATGGATATGTCAAAGGGTCCTTTCTGTTTCCTGTGCCCCTGTCCATACCTGGGCTCCACCACTGAGGTCACCAAGGAAGATGGCACTTTCTGGCTTCAGGATTTTTTTTAAAAGTTCTAATTTGTTATGTATGACAGCAGAATGCATTACAATTCATGGTACATATAGAGCACAATTTTTCATATCTCTGATTGTGCACAAAGTAGAGTCACAGCATTTGTGTCTTCATACATGTAGTTAGGATAATGATGTCCATCTCATTCCACTGTCTTTCCTACCCCCATGCTCCCTTCCTCCCCTACCTTCCCTTTGCTCTATCTAGAGTTCATCTAATCCACCCATGCTCCTCCCAACAACCCCATTATGAATCAACCTCCTTATATCAGAGAAAACATTTGGCATTTGTTTTTTGGGGATTGGCTAACTTCATTTAGCATAATATTCTCCAACTCCATCAATTTACCTGCAAATGCCATGATTTTATTTTCTTTTAATGCTGAGTAATATTCCATTATGTATATATACCACAGTTTCTTTATCCATTCATCTAATGAAGGGCATCTAGGTGGTTCCACAATTTAGCTCTTGTGAATTGTGCTGTTATAAGCATTGATGTGGCTGTGTCCCTGTAGTATGCAGTTTCTAAGTCCTTTGGGTGTAGACTGAGGAGTGGGATAACTGGGTCAAAAGGTGGTCCCATTCCCAGTTTTCCAAGGAATCTCCATACTGCTTTCCATATTGGCTGCACCAACTTGCAGTCCCACCAGCAGTGTATGAATGTGCTTTTTTCCCCACATCCTCCTGGCTGCAGGATCTTTACTCCTTTCTCCCAAGGGCTCCTGCATGGTATCCAGGAGCTTTTCTGCTCCACCGCTTCCTCTGCTGGGGTCTTGTCACCAGCACTTAATCACACTCAGGTTCTCCCTATCCTAATTAGATGAAGCACCGTTTCCAACTCCAGACTTCCTCCAGTTCCTGCTTTGGTTTCCCTCCATTCTCTGCTAAACCTCCTGGGACAGCAAGATCATCATGACCTCCTCATCACTCATCTCCTCAGAGGACTGCTTTCAGCTTGCTTCTAAATGTTCCATCATTTGACATCGTTGACCTGCCCTCCTCCAGGATGTATCATCTTCCCAAAGCTTCTAGGACCCCAAACTCACTGCAACTTCTCCTTCTCTGTCTGGTCCTTCTTAAGTCTCCCTCTTGCTCACCTTTTCCTTTCTCCACTCCACTTCTAAGGATGTGACCTTTGGAGTTCAGGATTTAACCTATATCTCCTTTCTCCGTCTATTCTGCCTGGTCTCCCATCTATTCACATGGGTCTCCACTGCCATGCCGATGACTCCCAGAACTGCACTTCCAGCTCAGAACTCTCATGGGAACAAAACTGCTTCCTGCACAAGGCAGGGCTAGGGTGAGGTGTGTGGGTACCCAGGAAACAACACTTAAGGGAGTATTTCCTCCGTGGTCCCTGCTGGTGCTGATCCTGAATGTGCATGTCCCTGGGAGTGAGCACCTCCTTAGAATTCTTGCAGTAGATGCCTCCTGCTCCTCACCCCCATCTTGGCCTGCTCCTGGTCACCTCTGTTGGATGTTCCACAGGCCCTGCCAACTGGGAAGTTAAAATTCAAAGTCCACTCTGCCCTCCCAATGCTCTCCTCCCTGGTGAATCGCAGCATGGCCAGCTCTGACCTCTTCCTGAAGGAACTCAAGTCTCATCATCAGATCTTGGCTCAGGCTTCACTTTCCCTAAAGTACTCCCTTTCCCCCACTCCCTTCTGGTCTTAGCTCAGATGTCACTTTGAGAATCCACTTGACTCCAAGGCTGGTAAGAGGCCTTGCTGGGAGTATTTCTCACACCCCAAGTGCTCTGTTCCATCGTAGACTCTTTCAAACTGAGCAGTGCTTGGGGACTTGCCCATCCCTGTGAAGGAGTTCAGGAATCCTCTCTGTGGACATTCAAGTCTGGAAGTCCTGAATTCATGCCTCAGATCTGCCTCTTTCTAGCTGGATGTCCTTGGAAAAGTTAAGAACTTTTTTCTGAACTTTATTTTGTGCTCTGTGAATTGGAGATCATAGCTACCCCCAAAGCTATCATGAAGGGGTTTGTGCTTCTGGAACTCCTTGCAGTTAACAGAATGCTTGACTCTCTTCTCATCCACACCACACACTGAGCTCCAGGAAGCCAGATTCAAGTTCTATGCTAGTAGGTATCTGTAGTGCCCAGCCCAGAAATGCACTCTTAATGGGAGTGCAAAAGATGTTTGATGGTTTGAAGGAAGGTAGCCATAGCAAGCCTTAGAAATTGGCAGTGAAGGGGGGAAAAAAAAGAGGAAATGCAGGGTAAATGAAGGGAGGAGAAGTGAAACAGAGAACCTGCTTTCTCTGAGGCTTGCTCACACTCCAAGGGACTCATCTGCTTTGGAAGGACCAGGCTAAGGATGCTCCCCCTGGGAGATAACCTGCTTAGGCCAATTCAAGTCAGTCTCTGCGACAGCTGGGCGACACAGTGCCCATGTGACAGGCCTCCCTTATTAGAAACAGCTGTGCAGAAGGCGGCCCCAAGGCTGGAGCTCCTGGAGAGATTTCACAACCTCTGGGGCTGTGCTTCAGTTGTCTTTCAAACATTGTTTATGTGCATTTGTGTGTGTGTTTCCTCGGGTCTCTTCTGATTGTGAAGAGACCCAGCCTTGCAAAACAAGCTCAGAGTGTGCCTTTGGGTTGGGTGTGCAGATAGCAATGGAATGCACCAGCCTCCTGATGCCAATTCTGAAAGCAGCTAAGGAGTTGAAAACAAAGAAAAAAAAAAAAAAGAAAAGAAATCCATCCCCAGTGGGTCATCTAGGAGCACGCAAAGTGGGTGGAGTTTATGTTGGAGCAAAAAGACTGGGGAGGGCTTCGGCTAGTCCATAGATTGAATTTCTTCCAGGAAAGACATGAAGGAGAGCTCTGTTTTCTCATTGCCATCCTCTTTAGCCAAGCAGTAGCAATAATAGCTGCCAGAATCTAGGTTAACTATCTTCCTTAGAGGAAAAGGGCTGCTTGCTGATAGCATATGAAGATTATGCTTATCCATTTCCCTTATGCCTGTGAGACTCTTAGGGGTCCTGAAGGGATGTAAAGAGTTACCTTTAAATGGTTTCAGGCAGGCAAGAGGAGATGCTGCCCGAGTGAAAAATTGGAACTTGGACCAGCTCACTGACTCTCAAGTCTGGCTGCCCCTTAGAATCACCTGAGGAGGCTTTTAAAACTCCAATGCCAAGACCTCACCCCAGACAATTCAGTAGACTCTGTGGGGTAGGACCTGCTCATCAGTGCTTTAAAACCAGGAGGAAATCACTGAAGTCCATGAACTCTGATGTCTGAATTTCCTGACCTATCTGTGTCTGAAATTACTCATCGAGGCAAAGGACTGTCTGCAACTGGGAAGGATTTCTCTAAAACTGATTGTAGCTTACTATTTAGAATTAAGCTAGACTACTCATTTCCCAGACATATCAATAGGTGTGCCATGGAGAAATATAGGAGAACAATAACTTGGTGGTTAAATAGTAGAGAAATATTGACTTAGACTTAGAACTGTGTTTTACCCCCTGTGGTAAGGTTAGCTACTGGGGCATCTGTCTCTGGTACCCCTTGTTCTGTTGCTAAAACTCACATTCTTCAGTTCCTTAAGATGAAATCTGCTTTGCTGGAGCGTCTACCCATAGTACTGGTTCTGTCTATCGCAATGACCCAGAGTAAATCTAAATCACTTTCAACATGTCCAAGATATAAGATACTGTTCTGGTTTGGCATAACAGTATTCTGTTATGGCTTCCAGTTAATATAATGAGGACCTCTAGTTTAATATGACACATAACAGGATAGCTCTCAAATTTCCTCTGAAACACTCAGGAAAATACAGAAGAAGCAACAACGTACATTATTGCCCCAAACTAATACTGAGAGATAAGTGTAGAAGAAAAATTTTGTGGAAATTTTGGAGTGTGGAAGACTGTTTAAGTTTGACATCAAAAGCAGAAATTACAAAGATTTACATATTTGATAAAATTACTAGATAACTTAAGAATGTGAATTTAATCAAACTATTAGATAAATTATCTAATAATTATATTACTTATAACTTTAATATATTGTTAAAAAATTAAAAGATAAACAACAGAATAGAAAAAAGTTGGCACTCTCTATATAATGCTAGACTTTGTTTCATGAGTAAGCAGTATATACTTAATGCATAGCACAGGGCCTAACATACAGTAGACCTTCAAAATATTTGATTAACATATGAATGAAGATGAATTAGGAGAATAACCATATGAAAACCAACCCTAAAATATTTAATAGGAAAATGGGCCAACAGCCTGTACAGGCAATTGATAAAAGAGAAAAAAATAAGCATTTGAAAAATTGTTCCACTTTACTAGCAATAGAAAGTGTGAAAAAGAAATGAGCATCTATCATGTTCAATAATGCTGGTGAACATCTGGGGAAATGAACTTCTTACAGATGCTGGCGTGAAGGTTAATTTATACAATCTTTCAGGAGGGCAACCTGGCAATACGTACAAAAAGCTTTAAAATTTTCCACACCCTTTGATCCAGTAGAAAGCTGGACTCTCACCTAAGGATATATTCATGAATGTGTACAATGATTTGAAGATAAGGATACTGATTGTGTCTTCATTTATAATAACAAATACTTGGAAATAAATATCCAAAAAAGGTGGATATACAGTGAAACACAATCTTTTAAAATGACATTAGGCAAGGACATGCGATGGTGTGAAAGCTTACTCCTTGAATGTGGGTGAAGTGATTAAAAAACAGGTTTGAGCTGAGAGGCATAACAGGACCTCCAAGAAACGATCAATTGAAGAAGTTCTCACGGTTGCTTTAAATCTGCTTTCTCAGGTCAGACATTCTAAATTCCTTCAATCACTTGTCCTTGGAAGATGAACACATTTTCTAAACTCAAACAGTGGCCCACGTGTGTAGGAAGCCTTGGGGACCATCCTGGAAAGACACTTCCTCACTTAGTCTCTGTCCAGTGTGTTCTGCTTTGGCAATGTCCTCTTTAAAGCATAGGTCTAGCCAGCAACTTTTAATGTTTACAGGGACACCATGGAGATGGTGAACAATATTACCAAGTTAATAGAAGCTTATTAAGTAGAGAAGATTGGAAAGGAATTCAAAGCACAAAAACTAGAATGTGAAAAGGTAAAGAGACAGGAACATCCAGGGCTTAGTGAGGAATTAATCCCTACTAAGGAGTGAACCTGGGGTAAGTAGCAGACTAAGTAGAACAGTCGGCCTTTCCTTTTTTTTTTTTAATATTTATTTTTTAGTTGTGGGTGGACCCAACATCTTTATTTCATTTTTTTATGTGGTGTTAACGTTCGAACCCAGTGCCTCACATGTGCTAAGTGAGCGCTCTACCACTGAGCCACCACCCCAGCCCAGAACAGTAGGCCTTTCTAAACCAAGTTAAGGATTTGGGACTTTTCCCATTTTTTTTTTTTGCAAGTCTGGAGCCGAGAAGGGCATGTTGAGTTCCATGTTTTAGAAAGAGCACCCAGTAGCTATTTACTGGAAGTAAGGGGATGGTTTAGGCAAAGGACACCATATGCCTAGTAAACTTGCAAAATTTCAGGAAGAGACATGTTACTGGTTTGCTACTTAAAAGTTTCTCTTGGTGTTTTCTCTTTTACGTTGGCCCAAGGATTTCCTGGGGGCTTCTAAGAAACACTGGAGCCCACCCCTGCTGAAAAGGGAAAACAGGTGACATAGATGGAAGCTATCATGTCTCCTTCTATCCCATTCATTCTTTCCCTGACATGGGGGTTTGGCCAACTCCGAGGTTGGGTGCCAGTTCCTGGGAAGGATGGTAGCTCTGGGTTCAGGCCTCTCAGGCCCCTGCTCTGGGGTGGGTGCTGGAGATACTCAGGCCTTTGGGCTGACTCAGGGGCTCTGCTGGTGGTCTGTGCTGACATCCATAGTGAGGGGTGTTAGCAGGGAGGAGGTTGGAGTAGGCAGGAACTGAGGAGGAAGAGTTGCCAGGTTTGTACGAGGTCAACATGTGTTTGAAGCCATTTAGAACGTCACTGAGAATGAAATTAGGTGACTTTTGTTTTTGTTTTGTTTTGAAGGAAAAATTCAGAACCTGTGACTCTTGTTCACCAGCACGTGGCTGGATGTAGTCATTTGGAGTTTATGGAAAATGTGGTCAGTCCCATAAATCAGAGCTGAGGAATTCTTCAAGTCATCACCGTGTAAGACATGCAGGTCTGTAATGAGTCTGTTCAACTTATGTAAAACAAAGCAGAGGAAGCATGTAGACCAAACTATATTGTGGTCCTCCTTGACCCTAATTTTTTTTTTTTTTTTTTGTATAGCCATAAGGCAGCTTTGGATTCCCGCTCCTACTTCTTCTGTGACTGTTCTTGTGTAATTCCATGTGCCCACAGAGAAGTCTATGGCTGTCTCCATGAACACATGGACACAATTCTCTGCATCTGTTTCCCCCATGTATCTTGCAATTTTGGCAGGATTTCTATAAAGGAAGCCCATTTAAACTGTACAGTCATAAACTGTGAGAGGGCTAATGATATGTTCAAACCTATTCTGTCCTTAAAGACTTCCTATTCTTTAAATCTATTATTTTCTGTGACTGGGAAGGAGAATTCAAGTTGTTATTGTGTTTCTCCTTCAAATGTGAATATAGACTTTCATTCAGAATTAGTAAAGAGTAAGAGATTCAATTTAGGTGTGACTCAGAGGAAATTCTGTCTTCATTCCATTGTTTTTTGATTTACACAATCAGACTTGTGCCCTAAACACTATGGGTTCTTATATCCTCTTAATGATATTTCTTCTTATCCTTCCTCTTTCCAACACTCCTTCTACTTCTTCTGTTGACCCAGTTTGTGTATTTGTTTCTGCCAAACTGATCAGTGGGTAATGGAATGTTAACATATTTTAGGGGAGATGTTTTTCAGTTGCTCAAAAGAAAAAAAAAAAAGGATTGTGCATGAAATCAGTATGTTTTGTAAGAAAATGGTACTGCTGAACCCTTCTTCAGATATCTTACTATTGTTTTTCTTAATCTATTAGACGAGTCTCATGAATGCTAAAAATATTTCATTTTCCACAGAAAACAGATATAACATCTACAGGACCAAACACCCTCCCTGAATACTAACGTTATAACCTATGTTCACTTCTGTTAATTGTAGAGTTTTCATTTTATAAGTTGCTATAGAAATTGGTTCTAATTGACTTTCACAGAAAAAAAAATACAAATTCCATATGCCATTAAGGGCCCAGTCGACCCAACACTTATATAAACTGGTTTCATAACACTTTCCTGTTGACCCAGTTACAACTTGGAGCATAAACAGTCAGCTGGTCAGTAGTTTGCACAAACTATGAAACTTCAGATCAAATTCCCTCAACCTCAAAATGCCCAATGTCACCAGGTACAAGAGACCTGTGTACCAGGCTTCACTCCACTTTGTTGGTGATGTCATATCGAAGGGGGCAAGGCAATGATGAGACATATCTAATACACACAAATTGCAATATGGCTTGAATTTGTGCATCAAGCATCCACAGACAGCAGAAGAGCACAACACAAATAATCATATTTTTCACCTATGCAGAGTCACTGAATGCTCAGCAGTGGGCCAGATGCATGAAGCATTTGTCACACTATGAAGCAGTTGTTGTTATCTGCTTCATAAAGATGAAATACCGAGAGGTTGGGTGACTTCCAGTCAAGAAAAAGTGATTTTCAATCCCAAGTTTGACTGATTTGAAAAGAATTCAAGGTTAGACAGCTTTATATTGCTTTTGATTAAGTGGGCCTGATTCCCAAGGATGTGTATGGAAGATGCAGGTTGCTGGCAGTGGAGGCAGAATTTTGTCCCAAGTCTTGCTCTGTAATAATTGTGGAGGAGAGACCAGCTCTTACGAGAAGAAATAGCAATGCTATGATTTCAATGGAACTGAGGCTGCTTCCAGCATGGTTGTTTGCTTTCTGAACCAGTACAAGTTATGTAACTTTCCTTGTCTGTTTCCTCATTTACAAAATGAAGGCATGGGCTGGATGGTTTCTAAGGTCTCCCTCTGTCTCCTCCTTTAAAACCACTTCCTAGATGGAGACACTCCAAGCGTATCCCTATCAGTTCTGGATAAATCCACACCCAGGGTATTAGATCTCCCCATGGACCCAACACCTGCTGGAAAGTGGCAGGAGTTCTCTGTGGCCCTTATTCTTTCACCCTTTTGTGTGACACTGTCACTCTGTTCCTCACCCCTGGCCACTGTGGCTCAGGATCAGCAGGCTTCCCTCTTGGGACTGCCCAAAGTGTGGGCCAGCCCTGCTCTCTCAAGTTCTAGGAAGTTAAACCCCAGGTATTTCTGTCTTATGAAAACCAGAATTTTGAAAATTAGTATCTGATTTGTCACAAGATGAACTAATAGTTGGACTTATATACATGGAGTTCTAGCTCTACCAAGACCAAGGAAGAGGACAAAACTGTGTGTGTGTGCGTGGGTGTGTGTGTGTGCGTGGGTGTGTATGTGTGCGCGTGTGCATTAGTTCTAAGGACTCCTACCGTGTCTCCTGGCTGTGGCCGCATCACCGACACACGATCATATCCTTTTCTTAGTAGGACCCACAAGGCATCCAGTTTTCCCTGAAATAAAACAAATGCCCCAAGATTAGATATGAAACAGACGAATTGCCGGCCACCGTAGACACTGGGCCTTCCAGTGCTTCTTGCCATGTTCCCAGCACACCTCTGCCAGCTTAGTTGTGATAGGACTAGTGACTTTCAGGCTCCGTGATGTAGGAGGAGAAGAGACACACAAAAGATATTCATGAAGAATACACCCTGAGACCTGGGTGTAGCCACACATTTGCAAACACAAAGTTCGTTCAGGCGCTTGGATTTTGTCCTTACCACATTTCTGGGCATATGTTCATATCACAGTCAATCTTTTCAACTTGCATTAAAATTTCTTCTTCCTACTTGGTGTCTAAAGTTCATAGATAATGACAAATTCAGGAAAATTCCTGAGCATGGACAAGGCAAAGGCCCAGTGGAAGGTCCTTGGGACACAGATCTCCTACTATTTTCTAGACAGTTAGTCAGGAGCCCTAGGCTCCAAAATAACCCTAGTGGGGAGGCATGTAATTAGCTGAAACTGGAAAGAACCAATATGTCAGGGCTGTTTTCAGTTCATGATAAAGTGACCCCTGCTCCCTGGAACCTGTGAATATGATACCTGACATGGCAAAAGGAACTTTGCAGATGTGGTTAAGTTAAGGATCTTGAGAGTAGGGGTTTCTCAGATGGGCCCAATCCTGCCACATGGGTTTTTCAGAGAGGGAGACAGGAGGATCAGGGCTGATTCGACTTTGTAAACCAGCCCACCCACAGTGCTGTGTGCACTGATCATTCAGCTCCCTGACTGAGGAGGAGCCATGAGATGGAGCTGAAGGAAGACAATTTGGCTGTTGAAGAAGTGTATTAATTAATTCAGCAGAATTTTAAACCTGTATCATAGGGAAGGAACAGAAACCACTTAGATGTGTAGTACCAGGAGAAAAGCTAGTGAATTATGTTCAGTGTTTAAGAGCCCCTGGGTTCAATTCCTGGTACTGAAAAAACAAAACAAAACAAAACAAAACAAAACAACAACAAGCAGAGGAATTCAGTGTGAGAAGGACTAAACCCAGTGTTGCCGGCTTTGGGGATAGAAGGGACCACAAGCCAATGAGTGTGGCAGCCTCCATAACCTGGAATACACAGGGAAATAAATTTTCTCTAGAGCCTCCAAAAGGAACACAGCCCTGCCAACACCTTGATTTTAGCCCAGTGAGACCTGTTTTGAGCTTTGATCTCTAGCACTGTGAGATGATGATTTGTATTGCTGTGAGCTTGTAGTGATTGCTGTGTGTTTGTAATAATTTGTTATAGCAATGATAGGAGACCAGTGCAGCCCTAATCACTAAAGCTAATGTGATTTGGGGGAGGTAAAGGGAATTGAAACTAGGAGTGCTCTACCATTGAGCTATACCCCTGGCCCATTTATTTTTGAGACAGGGTCTCACTAAGTTTCCTCAGCCAGCCTCAAAATTGCAAGTTACGGGGATCACAGGTGTGCACTATTGTACCTGCTGCCTATATACTTTCTATTATACCAACTGCTGATTCTGCCTCATGCAGATCTTCTGGCTGGAATGCTTTAAGTGTTTAGAACAGGGTTTCTAAACTGTGGGTTGCCACGCTTTAAACTCTCATGAGATTAATTTTTGGGTGTTAAGACTAGAATTTTTAAGAAATAAAATAAAATAGAATATGAGGGTTAACTGCACAGAGTGAGAATAAATGTTATTTTGGGAAGATTTTTTCTTCCTCTTAGTTTTGTGCATGTGTGGTGTGTGTTTGTGTGTGTATGTATGGGGGTGCATGTGTGGCATATTCTGGATCAAAATGTAAAATATCTTTCCTACAAGGGTGTTAGGAATGTCTGACAACACTGATCTGGAAGAGATCTTTGGATGGCAGGCTGGGAAGCCTGTGGATGTCTTGAGAGCTCAAGTTCTATAACACAAAGCAATTATAGTGGCAGCATTAACTTCTGAATCATCTCAAAGAATTTATGTTCTGAAATAATTCTCTGGCAGATTCTACACACATCTAAAAACTATATTCCTGAAACCTTATCGACTGTTCTTCAAGCTCCTGTGGGTTAAACTTTATCTTGCCAAGGGTAATGTTTCTCTTCTTTGAAAAGAAACTTACAAAAGCATTTGAAAATGTTTTTGAAATGACTTTAGAGCACTGGGATAGAACGACTGCTGTGTTAGGCATGGTTTTCTGCATTCAACGATTTTTTGGGGATAAGCATTTATAGTTCAGGATATAAGCAGGTGGGCTTTCTGGCTCCCCCCTGCGCCATTTTGGGGAGGGAGAGGGAGAGGGAAGGACTCCCAACTCCCAGGATTTGACTTTATAAACCAGCCCACCCACAGTGCTGTGTGCACTGATCACTTAACTCCCTGATCCAGGAGGAGCAATGAGATGGAGTTGAAGGAAGACAATTGGGCTGTTGAAGAAGTGCATTAATTAACTCAGCAGAACTTTACACTTGTATCATAGTGAAGGAACAGAAACCACTTGGATGTGTAGCACCAGGAGAAAAGGTAGTGAATTATGCTCAGAGTCCCTGGGTTCAATTTCTAGTACTGAAAAAGCAAAACAAAACAAAACAAC